ATATATGCTCCCGAGATGAAGGACATAGTCAGTATATGCGACCGGACTTATCAACGTCACGAAGTGATGCAGATGGAAGTTGACATCCTCAACACGCTTGGGTAAGTGTCTCTTCTCTCGTATAGTGTTGTATTGGTGTTTGTTTTAGATTCTGCATCACTACACCGTCGCCTATGTTCTTCCTGTTAAGATATGCTAAGGTTATGGAGGCCGATGAGAAGCACTTCTTCTTGGCCCAGTATTGTCTGGAGCTTGCATTACCAGAGTAAGTTGCTTTCTCTCTGTTTAGTGTCGCTTTATAATATATATGTTATGTCAAGTTGCATATATATTTTCAAGTTGTTTTATATCGCAACTTGATTATGTTTATCATTTCCATTGAGTCGTGCGTATGATATCATATTCATTTTGATCAGGTATAATATGCTGAAGTATTCCGCAAGTCAGTTGGCGGCGGGCGCCTTGTATTTATCCAACAAGTTGTTGAGGAAGTCGACAGCGTGGCCCCCACATGTGGCCGTACATTGTCCTACCACTGAGCACGACGTGAAGGTGGTGGCGAAGGACCTATGTGCATTATTGCAAGTGGCTACTAATGAGGATTATTCAGGGACGCAACTCAAAGCTGTTAAGAAGAAGTTCCAACTCTCCAAGTAAGAGGGGTTGGTAGGATTGGAATTGTGTCTTATGTGTTGATGTGTTGAATGATTAATTGTGTGATAATTTTTGTGGATCTTCCTACGTGTTAGTTTTACGAATTTTCGCAAGTTGTTGGAAGATGCGAATGGATTTATTTTTATTTGTTATTGTTTTCAGGTTCCGGAGTGTATCCCGTATGGTGCTCGGATGAAGATTAAAGCCAAAGTGCTTCTAGTGTACAATACTGATTTATCACGCAAGAAATTGTCTATGATTTTGAAGACTACCGTCCTGAGGAATACCAGTTGTTGGACGATGACGTTTATTCGTGTATGAAATGAAGCGCCGTGATTATTATCGTCGTGTGTGATGATCGTTTGCCCGATTCAATTAGTTTCGTATGCTGCTGTAAGCAGGCAATGCATGACCTATGCTAGTGGGGGAAGTAATACTTTCTGATGACAGTATTGTGTTGGATATGGTCATGTTGGTTTTTCTCAGTGGGTTCGATTTCACTGTTGACTTCTCAGCACATGTTATTATCATGGTTATATTGGTTTGAAGTGTCTGTTGTGTTATGAGAGTTGGGGGATATATGTGGACGATGTGCGTTTGTTATTGTTAGTTTTATTGCGGATTTGCACACAGTTGCATATCAAATTGACACGGACTGTATTTTTATGCAACTTCCCCATTATCAATTATTGCAGTTGTGTTTCTAATGAGATCGTCTTTCCTCGAGCCGTCTTCTTTCGCCTTGAATGAGCCGTTGTTGATGATATTTGACGACCTTTTCACTTTTGAGGATTGCGATTGGATTGTGGAACTGTTCCTTAAACAGTTTGAAGGTTGTAGTATGGGGTTATCTTTCGTTAGTGTGGTGATCCTATGGCGTCACGTGTCTTGAAACTCGACATAAGAGGCGCAATATAACTAAAGAGGTGCACGCATACACATATGTTGTCTCTATCGTAGACTACAACACGGAGGTCGAAACTTTAGGCCCCGGACTTGTCATCACTCATACATCCACTCCACGAGTGTGAACACCGAGGATGACTCGACGCCAGCATAAATGCTCTCCTACGCTCTAAGTGTGAGGAAAATGGAAAGTAAGGAGTATCATGCACTGTATGTCATCTCCTGTTTCTTCTTGTGCGGCATCCTTCGGGTATAGCCGCGGGTTGGAGAGAACCCTGAGGAATCACCAGCGGTGAATGAATCTACCTACTGCGATTTGCTACGACCTTCCACTGTGTTGTTGTTGACGATGAATGCCATCTCATCGTGACTGTTATCAACTCTCTGTATAATGCCTTACGTTACGCACAACCAAGTGATTATGGATTTGCTTGCACGTTGTGTTTACTTTCGTATTCTACCGTTTATGAAATCGATTCTGTGTTCTCTCTATTGCATTTACTCCTCACGCGGTAATAGTTGTTTAGCCCTCTGGCAAGCACAGGAGTCGGCTATTGTATGTGTAAGAGCGATGAATCACTAGGCCTATACGGCTCGGCAATCAGATACAGCTCAGAATACGACTTCAGCATGTTTCCAACTTGAGTACGCCCACGAATTCTAGTGTACACTCTACCGAATTCGCATAGGGCCATTCTAAAGAAGGGCTTTTACGATAACATGGCGGATTTACTCGTAATAGTCTCGCCAGTGATTGACACTTGTGGAATGCACGTCGTGCAATACACTTATCGTGTATTACGCGATAAATGTGGAAAAATATGCTCATGCTAAACTACATGAGAATTCTAAGGAAATTCTCATTATGTACATTTCGACAATAAGCTGTATATAGATTTCTATAATTAGTGGGGAAGCTCCTGAGCTCAACTAAGGTCAGGAGTTTCCTCGTTGATTATACAAGTTAGCGTAGGAGTGTACAGAAACCAACAATAATTTCCGAAAATTTGTTCAAAATTGCGGAGCGAGCGGAGCATATACCGCAACAACAGGCACTTCCGTGCTGTGCGTGCGTGCAAAATTATTCTGGCTTAACTACGAAGCGTGAGAGGCCATCACATGGATCAAACGACTCCTCTATATGCGGAGGTGATGGGAAAACTCGATTATGCGAACAGCTCGAAGAGATATGCACGAAAAACTTTAATGATGGAGAAATGTCCTACGGGGATCGAACCGGGGACCTACGTAAAATGCATTGATTGAGTCCATGGACGTGGACTCAGTGAGCCCCGCCCCTTCGTCACGAAGGCCTAGTTTTCATATTATCCCCGAAATATGCACATATTTTCCCACACTTCCAATTCAACACAACTCGTGTTATATATTCTTGCATTACCATGCATGATTAAACAATGGTTTAACAGCATCTTCATCACTTCAACGACCATCAAAGCCAAAGATATTAACTTTGCCTCGGAGCCCCGCCACAACCAGCCGAGCCGAGTCGAATGCACAAGCCAACATATAATCCTGAAGAAAGCAACTTGAAATGATGGCCACTTTAAAGGCCGATTCAACTGATTCTATGAGAGACCAATATGGGAGTTTTATTCTTTCTATGTGAAGTGGCATATTATTCGACGTGAAAAACGCGATATGAAGTGAATTGAAAATATATCGCGAATTACACCGGACGAACCACATCATATCACGTAGAACGTAAAACACATCTCGTGTTTGCCCGATATTCACTACTCACATGAGTTTTTCGCGAAATGAAATTTTAAATATGTTTTTCATATCACGGGTAATTCTTTAATGGAGTTTCACCCGTTTTACGTGAAGTCGGTGAAAAACGCGGCCTGTAGTAGTCGTAAAATATGTTTTTCACTAGTGTTTTTCATATCACTATGGTGAAACTTCAATGTATTATAATACCGTATTTTATCACTGAACCTCACATCTTCACTATGAACCTCAGAAGGCCCTCGCTTCGAATCGTCCCTCTCCAGACTTGACACGACAACTCGCCCGTCCAGCCCACAAGATACCAACCGATACCGCCCATCAGAGCAAAACCTTGTCAAAAGGCGAGGACCTGCTATGAATAAAGCGCACGCCCAGTTGATCGATTATTATATAACCGACTCTGATGCCGTTGTTGCAGTGGACTTCCATAACGCCTTAGATCAAATATCTTCACCGCTTTGTCGCTCGCTCGAACCTGTAAGATTTCTATGAACACCGCAAATATGTCGGAAATACCCGAAGAATGATTCTCAACTGATAAAAATACAATGGAGTTTCACCCACGTAAAGTGGTGTAAAACTCCGTGAAAAACGCGATTTACAGAAATATGTTTTCACTAGTGTTTTCCATATCACGGCTGGTGAAACCCCAATGTACTGTCCAGAAATAGCTACAATATCTTTCTTCGTCCTATTACTACGAAAAAGTAAAAATTCATCAAAAAGTTTCGAACTCCCCCTTCAATAGCAAGTTCGACACGCATCCAAATGCGGTACTTTATAGCAACAAAACGCATCACCAAATACTTACGAATAAAACATTCGTAAATTTCACTAATGCTGGCAGCAATCGATACATTCTACTTCCACAAAAGCGCTCGCCCTTCTAATCGATTTCAACTCACCACATGCGAACCTTGTCCACCATCTGCTTCGACACACATACACCAATCGTTCATCTCGCATCTACCAACCTGGCTAAGGAGCTCCCAAGTGTACTTGAAAAAGGGTCCACAGACCTCAGTGACGCGGCTACCCAGTCGGGTATCGTAAACTCGCCAGGAAGAGTCCTTTCGCCCAGCGATGATCACATGAGCATCCACTCTAGACACACTCGTGAACTGCTTCTTTATCCGCATAGAGGGCTGCGAGGAAAAATGTCGCGCGCCACAAAATTATCCTCCAATTCGTCACGCGCCACGAAATTACATCCTCGCCTTCCCAAGCGGGAGGTGGAGATGACCATATGCATTTGTCAACTGCTGTAGTGTCCCAAACACGACCGTAACCATCCGACCCGACAGAAGCGAGCTTCGAGCCTGGATAAAGACACTCCATACCACACCTCCCTGAACATACCACCTTCCATATGGCAAACCGCTGTGGCCGCCCCTCCTCTATGACCAACCCAGCTCGCTACAGCTCCTTGGTTGTCGAGCCGCCATATCGTAAGCCCACCATCTGCATTAAAAATGATATTTTTCAAATCGGAATAAAACTTCTTCGCATTCTGGAGAAAAACTCAACGACAAGAACAACAACGTACGTTTCGACAATCTTGCACGCACGAACATAAGATACCACCACATTGAAACAAGCAAATTCAAATTGAGATGGTATTGATTTCAATATTAATCCAGACAACAGCAATCAACCGTCACGCGCCACGAAATTCCCCCACTACCAGCATAAGCCCCAGCAGCATAACCATCAGAAAACGGCAGACATGCAAGAGCAGCAACAGCCTTCGTAGGAAAGGCCGCATCTGAACACACATATACTCAGTGTGGTAAAATTTGCGCATTGTTAACCACATGTGTTGGTGGCAATATGAAACCTCTGAGGAAAATTTGGAGAATCCTTGTTACTGTTATGTCCCTTTTTGTGCGATCGCTCTACGATATGTAATCCATTCAGATTGTGATAAGCTAAGCTAGATATTTCCGTGTTTGCACGGATCATAGATGAATTGTTATTAAATCTTTCATCAACTCTTTAATTACTATGTCGACTTCACCTTCCCTAGGGTCACAACATTACTTTCTCTACACTAATCGTATAGAGTATCTAATTCATATATAAAATCCTGTGATTAGTGAGGAAAATTTTGAGCTCAGCTGAGGAAAGCCAACATTTTTTACAACACTGCACATACTACTCTAATTTCGTGGCGCGTGACGATTTCTTTACTTGTGAAAAACACATGCAACCTAATTTTCACACTAACAACTCGGCTTACCGCGCGACAACATACCCGTTTCCAACGGCCGTATTAAATCAGACCGCGGCCTGGCCACCGCAGTGAAGCCCTCCCGAGACGGATCGTTTTCGTTCAAATCATACACTAGTATACGCCCGGTTCGACACGCCGCCAATGCTGATGCGGAGAACGTCTGAGAGCGTTGAGGAATTGCAAGATTGCAAGATTGTTCAAGATACCTTCAAATCCAATATTGGTGCTGATCGCGAGTCCCTTTTTCGCTCAACGTACTGACCGCGGCTAAACCTGAATCAAGTCTTAAATTAGGAGGTGATGCGTTGAGGAATTGCAAGATAGCAAGTGGAAGTCACGGTTAACCGAGGAAAGCCTATAATCGTTCTCTTATAGCCCGAGCAAAACCATATTTGTGAAAAATTTACGCACTTTCAAGGGTGAGCGTTTATTAATATCAAACCCAACACTAGCCCTGAAATACCCACCCGCACTGAAGTGTTGTACGTAATGACAGTTACCGTTTTTACGCACTAACCCGACAAGTGCGTGAAAAACTCCGTTTTCCACTTTTTCCACGCGAGGTGTCTCAATTTTTCTCACAAACAAGGCGAACGATTATTAGATTCAGAATCATCGAAAACCCCTATGACCCACGCCTCACGCTGAATAACTGTAGATTACCATATACACCGACATTTCAAAGCTGATGGTAATCTTATAGAGCATGACAGACGAATGAAACTAGCGCGGTTTTCCGAGGTATCCGGATCAATCCCTGGCTACGACATTTTCCCCCTCACCTCTTTTCAACGGAATGTCGGCGTCGATATATGTCCCGCCAAACTGCCGTGCCTCCATGAGCGTGTCTGAGCCTTGGGACGCAACTCCACACCGTTTCGCCACCAAGTGAAAACATTTTTCAATCGATTCTAATTCGGCTAACTTGACGTTAAATTCGTTCGAAAATAATTACAAAAAAATGAGAAAATATGCACATGTGTTGGTGACAATATGAAAATTCTGAAGAAAAATTCGGAAAATTCTTGTTGGTTTTCGTAATCTCCGAGCTCAGCTGATGAGGTCAAACAGTATTTGACCAGAAAATGGTATGAAAAGTTGGTTTTTCGCCAAAAAACAATTTCATGAAAATTATCGCTAATTTTGCTGATTCATTTCACGAGCCGTGATATGAAAAACATACTACACGACTACTGCATATCACCGCGAATATCGCGTTTTTCACCGAGTTTTACACCACTTCACGTAAAACGGGTTATGAAACTCCCATTAAACAGAAATAAAATCAACCCGGAAATTACCGTTTATTTCTCGCAGTCGGAGATGAATCATTCGGGTGAAAGCCGCGCGCCTCACAATGACGTTTCCACAGCCACTCTGAGCGTAACGCGGCACTCCAATGTTTGCACACCTACACTGCATAATTTCATGGCGAGTGACGGTTGGTGCTACCTGAGTATAGATGTAATATTCATTGACTGAATACGATGAGAGAATTGAATCGGCCAAGATGTGCTCGGGGAGGTCGGCGGCAAGACCTGACCAACGATCGAAGAAAAAATTGGTAAAATTTACATTATTTTTTCCAGAAGTTGTGTTTTTAACGAAATTATAGTAGAAAATTTTCACCAGTAGAATAGTGAAATAAATGAGTGATATTTTCAAACTGATAATTTGTGTTCACATCAAACGATTTTCCAACATGCATATTTATTCGTCACCATCAGAAGTCAACAACAGCGTTTACCAAAATTTCCATATTGTCACCGACATATGCGAATATCTCCCTCCACCGAAGTTGGTCGTTTATAACTGTACACACGTTTATTGGAATAAACTTTCCCAAATATAACCGTCTCGAAAACGAGACGATGAACCCCCGGGTAAATAACAAAATCCAAGGAGGTTGGTCGCTCGCTTTCAGCAGTTCGGGTTTCTGGTTGCCTTGTCGGGTTTCGGGTTTACCCTTCAAACTTGTTTTTCTTGGATTTTGTATAAAATACATGGGTGATATTATCACCCAGTGACAGTGTTGTAATATATGTTGGCTTTCCTCAGCTGACCCTAGGAGTTTCCTCACTAATTATAGGAGTTTATATACAAAGTAGAGTAGAAATGTACAGGAATTAACCAAAATTTCCTCAGAATTCCAATATTGTCACCAACATATGTGGTTGACCATGTGCATATTTTTCCACACTGTCCAGTGAATGCCTTCAAGTGGAGTCCACAGAAAAAAACGTCTCCTTCGAAAATTAATATATAAAAACCAAAAGAGAATAAGTCGAATTTAAAAGTATAATACCCGTTGTGGTAAAATATGCAAATGGTCAACCACATGTGTTGATAACTTTTGTGGAAATTTTGGGAGGAAATTCTCATTGGTTTCTGTACACTTCTACCCGAATTTGCATGTAAACTTTTATAAATAGTTCGAAGAATCCTGAGCTCAGCTGATAAAAGCGAACATATATCCCCACACCAGTAATTACTCACTCTTCGTTCGATTCAAGTCGGTCTCCATGTTAATTCCATCGGGCCGCATTCA